CTTAATACGCATCAAAAAATCCCTTTCATTTCCTTTCCACAAAAAAATCCCTTCATTTACTTTACATAACACAATCTCTTTCATTTACTTTACATAAAATTACATAAAATTACTGAATGTGTGAAACTGAAATGCAATTCGATATCCGACATCGTTATTATTAAATGTCAGACCCCGAGAATTAGTGTCAGACCACGAGAATGGAATACCGGACTTAGATAATAAAGTCAGACCACGAGAATGGAATACCGGACTTAGATAATAAAGTCAGACCACGAGAATGGAAAACCGGATATGGATAATAAAGTTCAGAACACGCGAACGGAATACCCGATATCGATAATAGAGTCAGACATCGATAATTGAATAACCGATATCGATAATAGTCCGGCTGAATTTTGAACGGTTTCGTACGCCATATTTTTCCATAAAAACCATATGATACAGTCCGTGAATAGTTGAATTTAACTGAATCCACTTCTGTTTTTCGCCTAGATAGTCATTATTTTGAGAAAAGATCCAAAAACCGTGTTTTTGAGACATAATTTGTATGGGCTCACATGAGGGGGCGTGAGCTTGAAATCGTAGCTGACCAAATGTTAACAGATTTTTTCTGATATGGTTGGTTCCTGCCATTTCTCTTTTGAAAACTTGGCAAGATAATAACATCAACATTTCATTATCTCCAAAAACCATTTCAGAATCCCCCATTTTTCTTTCTTCGTTTTGAATAAGCCTTAAATTTTGTCTAAAATAAGCTTGCTTAGAAATTTTTCGAATTACTTTTAGCTAAAGTAGTCGGCCACCTAGTCAACGTCGTCTAACGCAAGGATATTAAAATATATATTGATAATCATCTGTCCTAGATATTACAGGTGGTTGGGTAGGAGGTCTAATGTCTGACTAACCCAAGGGGGGGGGGGGGGGAATTATTACAGGTGGTTGGGTAGGAGGTCTAATGTCTGACTAACCCAAGGGGGGGGGGGGGAACTAAGCAATTATATAGAGAAGAGCTTGGTTTTGTGTCAGTGTATTACAGTAAATGTATGTGGTTTATAATAAATAGCTCGCTTTCAAGTCTCGAAGATTTTTGTAGGAATGCAAAGAATGTTTGCCGTCTTTCATTTTGTTTTAGTTAGAGCCGTGTTTTAGCGCAATCTAAGTATAGAGAGCATGGAATAAGAAAATGTCTTATGCCGATGAAATGGGTTTTTCATTATATAATATGCTCAAAATTTTATTGAT